ATAGTAGAATGGAGTCCAAATTAATTACGTAGAATAACGGGAGAAATATTGAAGTAGCAATTCGTAAACGGAGAGGAAATAAATCAGGATTGCACTGAGTAGAGTTGAATGGCGACGTGGAGAAAATTAACACTGGATCTTGTTAAAGTTCGTAGGGTTTATATATGGGATGTGTGAAGAGGAACAATCATTACATATTGACAGTATTCTCACAGGTGCAAGAGAAATTTACATATAAGAACAGTTTTCTTTAGAAAAAATTGCATAGAAATTATTTTATCTGATGTACAACTTTCTCACCATTGTATCAAGATTTTTTTGCATGGGATAAAGCCTTTACAAATTAGCTACCATATATGCACAAATCTTAACATCAGAAAAAGCACTTTCAGTAGATTAGATATCTGACTCATGACTTTAAGCATGAGAAAAAAATATGTAAATGCGATCTATTTGAATGAATGATTTTATGATACAGCTATTTCGGTTTTTCCGACCAATTATCTTAGGAAACCCAACTTAATTACTTCAGGAATCCAATAAGCAGCAGATTAGAAAGTCCTTTTATCGAATGGTGCAGAAAGAATTATAAATTTCTTTAGGAGAAGGCATAATAAATTAATTGGTCATCAAAACGCCAGTTCCAAGTTAACAGGCCTATCTTACATTAGCAGTGGACAATCCAATGATATCAAATTTACGCATTAAAAGCAAAAAATGGAATCGAGCAAATGAGCTAAAGGCATGAGCCACAATGGATATGTATAAGTAGGACCAGACAACTGAGCACACTGAAATATCCATAAGTATACGGATGAAGAAAGGTCAGATTTCTAGACAGATCACAAATGTTGGAGATGGCTTTATTGTTGACACTGCGTAAGTAAAGAAGGCGTAGTTGGCACAATGTTCACAAACTTTCATAGTCAAAGAAATAAGCAATAAGCATCTGCACAGTTAATTTCGAAAAATTTTGTTCATTATTCATCTTCTTTTCATTTGTCCCTTAATTTGTGAATTTTTATTTTTGTTATAATACATGGACGGAACAATGATATGATCAGTAAAGCAAAAAAAACCTTTTCTTTATCAAATATATGCAACAAATGCATTGCATTAGAAGCTGGAATGAGAATGAGGGTCAACATGGAATGAGATGAGAATGGAATGAGGGTCAACAGTTAGGATATAAAGTTATTTTTAATCGATGAGAATGTTTTTTACCCCAAAAAATTGAATTTTTAGTTAATCACAGTCTCTTATCTCTTTCTGCTCTTCGTTCATCCATTTTTTTTATATTTTATTTCTATCTTTTAGGAATGGGCGTCGAAATTCAAAATTCAAAACTTTGAAATATTTCCAAACTTTTTGGAACACTCCACTGGGACTTCCATATTGTTTTCTTTTTCCTTTAACTTCACTTTTATTTCGATGAAGAAATTATCAGTTCGACTTCATTAATTAATCATATTATTGACATATTTTGTCCATTCATAATCAGCAATTGATGTTCCCAGTCTTTCTAGATGAGCAAAGTATGAAAGATGAAAATTGATAGATACTACGTCCCTTCTGGCCATAGTTACAGTTTCATTTTGTCCACGGTCTTCAGAACGACACTTGCTTATATTTTTTTCATAAGATAATGGAACCTGAGAAATTACTTCAGATAAACAATCGTAACATCTCAGACGTATTTGGCGCATAAGTAGTGAAGGACCTCCACCATTAACATTTCAAGACAACAACGGTAAATATGGCTTTGCTAAGACAGAAGGAGAGGGAGAGGGAGAGAGAAAGAAAGAGAGAAAGAGAGAGAGAGGGAGAGGAACAGGGAGAAAGAGGGAAGAGAGAAGAGACAAGGCAAATTTCGCTAACATGAAAATTTTGAACGAAGAAAAAGTATTTCAACGTTTGTTTAAATATTTCAAAGTATGAATAGCTCAGAGTGATAAAAGAGGAATAGAAAGAAATGGATGGACGGTGACTATCTTGTGGATATGTGGACTTGTCCAAGTGGACTGGATGGCTTCGGATGAGAGAGGAAACATTTCCGAACTTGAAAAAAAGAGAATTCAGAATCTAGCACTTCTCGTCTAAGAATCTAAGTCCATCTAAGAATTCCTCGCAGCACCACTCCACTCCTAACATCAAGAATAACTCGGGTAAGTCCATATCATACGCATCGCATCACGCGATATAATGATTAGTCAACATATGGCTGTTAAATTGTGCTTTTTTCAAATTTGGCTTCGCGGGATTTTCGGATTTTTCTATTTGAAACTGATTATGGTGCGTGCGAGTGATAGATGCGTTGTTGTGACGTGTGGGATGGTTGTTTCTCTCATTTTCATTTTTTTTTTCTGGAATATGTTCGGATGAACCTTCTACATCAAGTTAATGTTGTACGACATGAAGTGAGTGAGGACGTGAACTATCGAGCGGATTGTACTACTGTCATTATATGGATTCTTGAATTACTAAAATAAAGTTTTTAATTTTTGCATACCATCATTATTAATTCTTGTTAAATGTGATGTTTTCGAAAAACCAACACTTTAAAAAGAGTACACAAACAATGAAATTTCTAATACGTATTTGATTTAATGAGTTCCACTTAGGTTTCTGTAACTTTCTCAGTTCTTTCTCCCTTGTCATTGCTTACGTAACATTTCGGAAGTTGCATGTTCTCCGTGTAGGCTAGATAACATGAATATGATACTATCAGGATTGCCATTAATGTGTATCATAAAGATTGAAATCAGTTTTCATCGGTCACTGCTCGCAATGAATACGATGAATATATGATTTCCATCTAAGGCATGAGTGTTGCATGTCACTTTTAGCACCGTATCATCAGGTACGAGTTTTTAAATGAAGGGGAGGAGGGGAGTGATTATGAGACTGTAATTCACTCTGTTCATTTCAGTTCCTCCACTTAAAGATTTTTCGGAGAGTCCTTGGAGAAAGTAACGTACACAACTGTTTCGATGACTCATTTCATGCGATATTCCGCTACTGCCGCCGTTATTGTTGTTGAGATTGGTTTTTTATTTGATGTTCATGAAACTCACACTGTAGGCAATGATAGCTTTTGTAGATTGTTTTACGGAATGAAGACGTCAGAAGACTTCGAATGAACGAATGAGGGAATGCTTCATCTACTATATGTACTTTAATTTCTGCTTAAAGTATTCACTTCTCATTAGTTGAGCTGATAAATTTCGTTGCATTTATTTGGCTTTTATACCATAACTTCGGTATAACCGCCTGTTATTTTTGAAGTGTTTAAAATTAGCTTCCTGGTGCTATTAGAATGAAAAGACCAACCTACACGCACACCAGATAGATACCCTATCATAATACTGTTAATTTTTTCCGTATGCACTGCTTCTATAGGCCATTTTCGTCTGGCCTATCGTTGTTTCTTATAAGCAATTTGCATATGTAAGCAGTTCAAGAATCTTATAAATGCGGAGTTAAGAAGTTAATAATCATTATCTCAAGAGGAAAGCGACTATTGAGTACTGTAATTTGTCCTGGAAATTCTGATTCATCTCATTATTATTGAAATTTATATGCACTGCAGTGTCCTTTTAATTGAACACTTAAGTCAAATTATGTTTGAACTGATTTGCAGCATTGTTTTGGAATACTGCTTAGTGACGAATTATATAGCTTTTTGATGACGAATTATATGGTTTAATGTTATGAGCTTCATCCAACATTACAATACGTATCATACATCTTAGAATACTGAGTAATTTTCTTATGTAGAAACAGTGATGACAGGTAGTTTAACAGGAAAGTCACCACTGAAATTTATTCTAGATGGATTGGTCAAGTTTGGTCACTCATATGTTTCGTTTACCCTTCCAAATTTTCTGTTGGTTTACTACTTTTCAGCGTATTGTGAGTTTAAATGATTTTGATGCTGTGAAAATCTGGTAGACGATACTTTAGTAAAATTTATTGTATAAGAAGTAGTGAGATTATTTGGGTATGTTTGACTGAAGTAAAAATTTGTGCTGGCAACTTCACTGTCACAGTATGAGCAACGTATCTGATATGCATTCGTACCAAAACATTTTGACTTGTTGATTTTTATTTTGGGCAAAGTTTCATTCGAATTAGATGCATAATTCTTTGAAAGCATGCAAAATTCTTTATTTTCCCACTTGCATTGTGCAATAATCGTTCCATCTCATTTTTGGTTCCTTATTGAAGTATGTTTTAATTTTTATATGTGAAAAGCTGAAAACCTCGAACTGGCTTAGAACAGGGCATATTTGTTAGAGTCTTAGACTCGTTTTGTCGGAAATTAAAGTGTTGCCCTTTTAGTGTTCATGAACTGGAAGTTTTACGAACAGTTTGTTATTAGAAACTGCGGTGTCTACCAGTGAGTTTGTTGACCTGACAGGTACAAAAGAAAAAGGAGCAACTGCAATCTGGACAGATCGTGCTACAGCTCTGCATATCATAGTTATGGATAAATATTTGGATGGTTTACGAAGTATGCGTTTGTATCGCCAAGCTAATATATTACCTGCCACTTCAGGCCCACATCAGTTCACGTTAGTTCATTTCAAGCATTCAAGTAAGGCACTTCTAGAACTATGTTGCATTAAAATTGTAAAAAAGAGAAATTGATGTTTTATTTGTTATTGAGTTTAATTATATTTTGAATTGTTAAAACACTATCAAAATCCACTTGATTTTCAGTTTTCACTTTTATGTATTTTTATATTAAGGCTGGAAAATGTTGCAAGTTATACTATGGAATTAGATGTAGGAGATCGGCGTGGATTCAGTACATTTACTCTTCGCGGAGTTCCTGTGTATGCCAAGTTTCTTTTCTTTTTTTTCATCTGATAGATTTCTAATTTATCTTTCATTTTTCGCTGAATAATCCATAAGTTTTAAGTTTTCTCGTCGATGCATTCAATTTTCTTCGTCTTAACGGTCTCGATGCTAGTGGCATTTTCCGAAAAGAAGGAAATATCAGCCGACTCAAATCTTTTTCGGTGTGTTCCGTTTTGTAAATGCTGCACATTTTGTATCAGAATATACCAGGAGTCAGATTAAATTATATTCATCTATTGTAAGAACATGAATGTTGTTCTTTATTCATAATTTTCAGATGCAAACATTCTTTGGTAGCATAGTTTTGCCGGAAGATTGCACCACCCATGATGTTTGTTCACTTGTTAAGCGATTTTTTCGTGAATTAAAGACACCTCTCTTTGCTCAGATACAAAGACAGCTGTTAGATGTAAGTTTGTTGCAAAAAAAAAAGTGATGCAAAAGTAATGAAGGTAAGAAACACTTGCCGATGAAAATTTACAATCGTTTACTGCTCGTATCCATGTTCTGTATCTTTTACGCACTAATTATATGCACAGGGGATGTCCATTGTTTTGTAAAAAAAAATTCTGATTTTTATAGACTGCATTAATTTATGATGGAGCCCAACGTATCAACAAACTTTTGGAGGCTGTACGAATGTTGCCTACAGAGCATCTGGCAACATTAACCTTTCTAATGCGACAACTTAAATATGTTAACCTTTTGTGCTTGCTATTTTGAACAAATAAAAAAAACTTTCTGGAAATTAGTGAGTGAGGATTCTGAAAGATATTCACTTTTTGTTTTTTTGATAAGGCTGAATATTGGTAAGTTTCAGCTGAAAATTCCATTTTCACGTCAATATTTCGGATCTAAGTTTCGGTTTTTCTGTGACTGATCTGTAATATTTCAATTTAGCAGCAATTTGTTTCATGAAACAAAGAGGTTCTGAATTCATTTTCATCGGAAGATTTCAGTTTGGCGATCGGCATGAGGGTCATCAAATGACAATTGAAAATATTGCACGCGTTTTTGCGCCATCTCTTTTCCGGGACGACCCACCACTGGCACCTAATAAAAGAAAGAGAGGATCGCAGGCATGTTCTTTCCCTCCCTTATGCTCTTGTGAATTCATTCGAAAGATGTCGCAGCTTGAGATGCTAAGCTTTATTCCATTGTGGATTGTTTTCAATCGACAAATGTACGAAATTATTAATACCTCTTCAGGAAGACTTGATCTCGAATGTACGAAATGAAAATGAGCTTCGTATTGCAATTATTATTGATCTGATTGATAATGCGCATAAAATTGGCGTGCCACGCGACTACTATTTGGCGTCACGTCGTCCTTCTGACGTTTCACAGAAAATTTTCAAAGGAAAGTTCATGGGATACGTTGGGACGCGTAGTGTTTCTGCTAAGCCATCATCTAGGTAGGATTATTTGTTTTTGATTCTGACATTGGAAGGGAATAATGTACAGCATTTTTATACACTTACGTACATTTCTAAACACTGCATTATATCACATGAATATATGGATTTTTTCGTTTAACGTCTTTTTTTCTAAATTAATTTCAAAATCAATTTTTAGGGATCCAACATCTACTGCATCGGTTAAGCAAAAAGCTGAAACCCGAAAGGAAAAAAAAGTAGAGAAACAGCCATCGGGAAAGTTTGCTATGCAGTACAAGGTTATTTTTCGAAGTATTACACTGGTTAAGCCTTTTAAGAATATTGCTATTGTTCATTTCATTTTTTAAGAACAAAACACCGCGTGAACGGCGTTCATCGTCTACAGTTCGTGACTTTTTCTCAAATATTTCGAATAAAGTTTTACGTCGTGGGCTGTCCCCAGTTGCATCAACACGACGACGTTGTTCAGCAGGCGATGTAACCGATGATGAATCTTTGAGAGAGAATATGAGTGGGTGCACCTTTACATATTTCAAGTCAGGAAATTGGCTAGCATTACGTCTTGCCATCTTTTCGATTTTTCTTGTCAGATTGTGTACTCTTTATCTTTTATGAATTCAAAAACATTTAACTTCAGAATTTACTGTATGTAAATTTGCTACTTCTTCATATGGTTTTTCCCGCGTTGTATATATGCTTTCAGCTGGACTGAATACTGCAACAGCCAAATTTTGTGTCCATAAGTATACAGACACCTGTGATACTGCGCAATATACCTCCAGAATGAGGTTTCAAAATGAAGAATTGCTATGGGGAAGTAACAGCTCGAGTATAAAAGATCGCTTAAAATCGCCTTCACCGGTTGTCTCTCCCCCGCAAAAGTTAGTTTTCAATGCAACTTGATTCTCCCATATGGTTAACTCAAAATTCTCGTCATTATACTATTACATTTCAGAACAGTTGGAAAGCGTTCGCAAACGACTTTAATGGGAGCTAATGTTTGTGCTCCATCAGACAGAAAAGATGACACAGCTTCAATTCCAACAAAAAGTTCAAGGCATCGCTCACGCCGAGAATCACCACGCAAATCCAACACAACAAATTCAAGAAGCAAGGCGATGGAAAAACACAAAGTTATCCGAGAACTGGAAGAAGTTAATATGGTGCCTGCTTCACCTGTTTTTGAACCTGTTGAAATGATGACGTTAGTTAAATATACCTTCGTATATTGCATTAAGCTTCATAGAACTAGTTAAATAATTGATTAATTTTCGATTTATTTGTAGAATTTACAACTACTGATAAGTTTTTTGATTCAAGCGCGGATAGCTCAAATAAAGCTAACTCTCTGAGCTCCTATCAAGACGTCATTAAATGATTGTATTTAATATAATGTTGTATTATTTCTAGGAAATGAGTAATATTAAATGATGATTATACAATAATCATAATAAAATGATTTGATGATGACATTTTAAAAAAAAAAGAAAATATTAAAAACACTAAAAAAACATTTAAAAAGGAAACGATTGCATAAGGCTGTCTACCTTTCCTTCGTTATTTCTTATCTTTCATCCTTATCCAGTTTTTCTCCGCCTGCTTATCAGGAGATGCCCTTACTGGTTCTTATGTTCTGAGTTAGTATTCGATAAATGAAGTCCTTCAAAACCTTAATTTTTCTTGATGATGTTATTTCAGGAAAAACATTGGTGAAGCATTTCTGAAACAGAGGAACTCGGATGAAAAATTAGCAGTATCAAAGATTATCAAGCGAAATTCTTCCAAGAACCTACTTCAGTCAGTTAGGGTAAACTGCAACAGACGTATTTTAAATTTAAAGTATAGGCAACGAGAATTTGGCGGTGGAAAACCATGAATTATTAAAGGTTGATTCTGCTAAG